ATACTTCTGAGGCTTTAAGGACCTACCTCAGAGAAAGGGTGGCAGATTTGTGTCCACAGTGACTCCCTGTCCAAACCTCATACTCTCTTTAGGGAGAGGGAGCGCCATAGTTACTGTTGCTGATATCGAGCCTGTGGTTGAGGTTGACGTCAGAGCTGAATTTCATGGACACAAAGCTTTGTCAGAATTTTTGAGAGACTGTTCCCACAAATATGAATTAAATTCATCTCCGTATATAACTGTCTTAACTGCATCCTTGTTTGGAAACAGATTTACAAATTTAAAACGTTTGAAAAGATGGATATCCCCAAGGCAGAAGAGACACCTTGAGTGGTGGCCAGTTGGTGCAATACTGCTTCTTCACTTGCTTCATTTTTTTTTTTTTTTTGAACAAGGCCTTAGGGGGCCATACATGCAGGCAAAGCACACAACGCGGAAGGAAAAAATTATATGTAGCAAAATGGGATTCCAAAAGCAGGATAAACAGAAATCAAGTTAAACAAGTTTAGCAGAAAAGTCCAACAAGAATGAAAAAGGAGGAACTAAGAATGAAGAAGGTGAACTCAGAGTACTCAGCAAGAGAGGCTTCCAAATTACTGGCTTTCTGATGGCAACCAAAAAGGCATGGAGAGGCCAGGACCCAGCACAGTTATATATACCTCTAGGAGGCTGGGAGGATACCACCAAAATGCTATTACTTAGCTAGGTTGGGTTCTGAGCAGGCTCTGTACAGGCACAGATAAAACCCATCAGTGTGATCTACAGAGACCATGAAGGATAATAAAAAATTGTCAGTGCATGTCAAGTTTGAGAAGAAATGGCTTTGCACACAGAGGGTGCTAGAGCTACAGTGTGCTGGTCAGGATGACTGTAGCATGGACATGAGAAGCTTGTGACATTATCACAATGCCCTTTCCAGATGACATCAAAAAAACAAATTGGCCTACAAAAGAGAGCCTCTTAGAAAACTGTATCCCAAATTGATTAGGGTTTTATGAACCAATAACAAAATCCTGCATCTAATTAAGTATCAAACAGGTGGCCACTACAGTTCCTTCAGCAATGGTATTATGTGGTACTGGGAGGTGGTGTCACTTAGGAAGTACCGGTAAGCCAAAATATTTTGTACCAGCTACAACTACCAGACTAGCTTTAAGAGCAATCCCACAAACAGTGAAAGCATCACAGTGTCTGAGAAGGCACAGAGAGGGGCAGTCATGTCAACAAGCTTCCATATCTTTCTGCTCCAAAGTGGGCCTTGAGAAGATTATTCACCAGAAAGATCCCCAGAACATGCAGGAATCCATCAGTTCCCATCAGTGGATTGTGCTAACAGGTCCTCCATTTTTGCAGAGGGGTGGGTATGGTGCCATAAACCCGAACCTCACCAAGGGATGCTGTGACGAAGACAATGAGGTTGTTTGGAATTAGCTTATATTTAGACCATCCATTTAAATCTAGGCCACAGACTGAATCAAGGCTATGATGCCCTCGATAAGTTGCACCAATGGACAAACCCCATGATTATCATAGCCCATGAGATTTCAGATTGATGCTCTTGGCTACAGGCGGATTCAGTATGACTACTGAAGTTCCCAGGATTATGGTTCTGGCTTCCTCCATCATTAGACTACTCAGTCTAATGATGACTACCTCAGCCAGCTCCACTAAGGAGGATACTGGACAGCAGCACAGGTGGTGAACTGACAGAACCTGCTATCTGTCTCTTCAGCCCAACAACAGATACCTACCCTCTAAGCCACCTCTAATATGACATGGTTTGCTAGAGAAGGGGATGGAGTTCCTATTGACTATGTCACTGCCAACACTCCAATCTGTGCTGATGCAACACTGCATACCAGAGGGACAAAACTAGGTAAGATTAGCCCCACCCAGCTTGTCTACTCAGCTCTCAGTGGTTACATGAAGATCAGCTCCTTCCATAAAACTCTTGCCAAAAATTGACAATATATAGTATATTTAGGAAGACAAGCATGCAAATAAATATGTCTAGTTTAATAAATATGGGAAAGTAACAGTTTTTTAAGGCCATTATTTCTTAGACCATGATGATACAGAATATAGTGTGCACTGTAATGGCAGTCACTGCCTCACTTTGCATGGAATGAAAATGGAAGAGAATTTTAGCCTATTGCAAACAATCTCTGTGCTGTTGTAAGCAGCTCATTTGCTCCCGTTTAGTTCCCTCTGTGAATACGATCAGCTGAATAAACCGAAAAGAATTTAATGAGTAATTTCAGGGTTGCCACTAAAAATTATTTTCCATTCCCTGACATGCCCTTACCAACTTTGTCAATTTCCATAGTCACCACTCAAATACAATCCTAAATTTAAAAAATTAATGGTTATACTTAATTAAAGGCTTATGAAATGTTCTACTCTAAAAATCTCAAATGCAAAAATACTTGTCAAGGTAAGAGTTTTAATATAAGGTTCTGTAAAAATTTATTATTTACAGAAATCTCATTTACAATTGCACTAAAATTCAATGTAAGTAATCTTTGAACAATAATAACAACATATCATTTTGTTCTTGTTTTAAAGGTACACTAAAAATTATATTAAAACAAACTTGACATTGTATGATAGAAAAGCCAGCTGTCTGTGAAACCCAGTAACAACAACCAAAGGTAGTTGCAATTCAGGGTGGGATAAGATGGGCATTTAGTCTGCTGTTTGGCCTTTTCCAGTGATCACATGTCATAATCATCTCCAGAGTGCTCCTACCAACATCCTTCCCAGCCCCTGTAAGGGGCTTCTATTTTTTTGGTGGAGGTAGTATTGCTGAATTTGTGTTCATTTTCAGAAAGTGTGATCACTTAGAATGGACCAAAAGAGAGCCTTCTGGCTATCCAGTCTGTTATTTACTATAACTATTTACTAAGCAGGGTTAGTAGTTACAGTAAATCCAAAGTGCAATTCCAGTCAGAATTTCTGATATTGTGAAGTGGGTTAAGAAGCGAACCACTTCAGGATGTTGGAAAAGTAAACACTTCCTCTGCTTCTGAGTGGAGGGACAGAAGTAAAAATTTTAAGACTATTATAGCAGTGCATATGAGCATCACTTATTTAAACGTGGCAGAGTCATCTGTCGGCAGTTTCTTAACTGGTACTTTAAGACTAGGTAAAAATATTTTTAATTATTTTTATACCACTCTAATACAGTATAGGGTGTCTTTTTTTTTAACTTCCTCTGCCCTTTAAAATTCTTGTATGAAGAATGTATGTTGTTCTAAAAGTTTAAAGTAGCCAGATGTTGCAGAGCTACAAGCTTATCTTGCATATCAGGCAGGAACAGAGCTCAACAAAGAAAGTAGGCTGGTTGCTGGGAAATAGAAGTGGAGCTGGGAAAAGCCAGAGAAAGGGAATTGCATTATTAAATTAAATTAGCATTCGTGCTCTGTTACTTCTCTATGCCGACCACTGACTCAATTTATTCAAGGAATGAACTGAATAGCAGAATACTCCAGAATGAATAGAAGAATATTCCAGAATGAATAGCAGAATATTCCAGAATGACTACACTTCTCTCGGCCTGGAAAATAGGATGTGCACCTCCCTGTTACATACAGCACTGATGTTACCTGTCTGTCATGGGTTTGGAGGGAAAGTTCCATCCTATGGGGAGTGGAAGGCGGGACATCAGGAGGAGGGGCTGTACTGTATATATATGGGGATCCTGTGTGGAGAAGTTTAGAAGCTGTGAAGGAGCTGAAGGAGAGCTGAGAGAAGAAGCTGGTGTGGGAGTCTGTGTGTCAGACAGGGTACTACTGTGTGTCAGTCAGTACCAACCTGATAGGTTCAGGTGTCTGTATGGGTAGCCAGAACTGATAGGTTCAGGGTCTGTGCTTTATTTAAATGTGTTCTGTGTGAACCAAACTGGTGTATGTATGATTGAGACTAAGCCACGTTACTGTATCTTATTCACTTGATCATTTTATTTTCCCTGTGTGTTATTTAAATAAACCTTATTCCTTTGTTTGTTTAAAAATCCATTCCTGGTCTGTGTGACTCCTTACAGGGAATGGTTGGTGGCAGCTTAGTGAAAGTGTGGCATCCCCCAGTAGGTCTGGGTTTGTTACACTCCCCCACCCTTTTTGTGGTGCTAAAAAATATAGGGGATTTAGTTCAACCTATTATTGTTTCTGTTATAATGTGACATCAAGTTTGAACCAAGTTATAGTGATTCTAACAGGATTTTCTTCAAGGTAACTGAAATATTTAAGGACTGGTTATGTTAGTTCACCACCAGTTTCCAGTACATTTCCATGGTTAAGTGGGAAGTGAAACACATGACTTCTGAGTCCTTGTTCATCATTCTATCCATGAAACCACACTGGTATCTATCTAAAATTACCCTGTGGGGAAAAATGCGTTCCTCATTTGGGAAAACATTTGCTGTTATTAACCACCTAGCAGTAGCCAACTGTCTACCTGAACACCTGCTTAGCCTTCTTCCCTCTCTCCTAACTCATTGTTAGTGCTTGAACAGCTGAGAAAATAGCTTACATTTTGGACCACTTATGGCACAGTCCAGCACAAACTATTTTCCAGTAATCACACAGGATATTGTGAACTAGTCTGGCCCTACTCTATTTCCAAGCTGGACCTTTTTGGTTCAGCATCAGGGTTGATCTTTTTTGCAGCTGCTCTTAGAGTGATTCCTGCACCAAGGGAAGATAGCCCCCAGCAAAGCAACCCCTTCCAGTGCAATCAAATACATTATTTTTCCACTATTTGATTATGCCCTTGGTTTGTCATGCAAAAGAATACTAAAGCAATCCTGACCAATCCACTTAAAGCAGCAGTTTATTCAAATAAAACAGAGATATTTTTTTCTATAAATTTGGACCCATGTAGTGAAAAAGGAACTGTGACTAAAAGGAGCAAAAAGAGGAAAATACAGAGATGTTTTCATCTTGTGACATAAAGGTTCTTCTGTAAATGCACTGAAATAAAAGTCTCACTGAAATACATACCCAGAGGTGAGGACTCATGATGATGATGATTTCTAATTGCTGTCACTAGGCTGTTGCCCGGTCTAGTCAACAGAGACACCCCTCTGTTTCGAGAGACTTCTGATGCCTAGAAGAAAAAAGATGGCTTGTAATAGTGATTCCAGAAGTTGGTCTGTTTAAAAAAAAACAACTGAAAAATTGGATAGTCATGTTTAATTGGCAAGATTATACACATAACAGCTCTGGAGGCTAACGGCCCCAATTTTAACTCATCATCCAATGATTTGGAAGAAAATCTTAAATATCATACTAAATTCGGCTAAAATGGTGCACTATTTCCCCTACCTATAAATCACGCACATATTATTTATCTATCTTTTGTTTTTCCCCCTCATTGAACTCATTGGTTTTTTAAAGTGTTTTTGTCTTTTTTGTGGTTTTGTGGGATACACAACAGGACTGAATAAAAGACAGAATATGGAATGGATATGGGGAAATTCTGAATATTGAAAATAATCTTGAGCTTGCTTTCAGAAAACTCAACTAAGAGGAGTCCCCAGTCCACACCCTCACAGTACAAACTCTGATTCTACTGACAAAATTATCAAATAGATGGTCATGTATCCATTCTCAACATCATCCCCCAGAGAAAAAGGAACAATCCTAAGACAAGGGTAGGCGATACCTTGAGATAGATTTTGGTTCTGCACAACTGACTCTCTATCAGTTTGGGTATCACAGAGCTAGGGGTGATACAGAAAAAAGGGACAATACTTCGTTTTCCTATTCCAGCTTCCTGCTCAGTCAATCTACCTCTGTTCTCTATTGAGCTGCTGTACGGGCTAATCAGTTCAACTCCTATGCCATGACTATCCAGTCCAAAGCACGCAACATGCTTCAGACAGGAATCTGTAGGTACTTGAGCCAAGACCCACCTCCACAGAAAAGCCTTTAGACCTGCAATTTGCAAATGGAAGGGGGGGGGTCTTCTCTTGAGCTTAGCTCCCCCAGTGCATCTACAAACTGACAACATGATAACTGTATAATGTGCACATCAGTGATGCTTGCAGATATCTAGTACTGTAACTGATTAAACCAATTGCAATCTGCTGTGAACACCACTAGAGATGGGAAGGCCTTGGGGGAAAACAGAAAATTAGGGGGAAAACAGTTTTCCCCCCATTTGTTTCCAAAGCCATTTTTTGCCTTTTTCTGGAATGCAGATTTTGTTCTTTTACAATGATAAATAATATGTCTACGACATGGTATGTGAACTATGTAACATGAAGACCTTAATGAAGGACTTCCGAGACTTTACGTATTTAAGTTATGTATTTAACTTACACAACACAGATATTACAAGCAGATTACAGTGGTGCCTCGCACAACGGGTGCCTCACACAACGATGAATTCACACAACGATGCCTTTTTCTGTTAAATTTGCCGCCTCACACAGCGATGTTTCCTATGGGGGATTTTCACACAACAATGTCTCTTTTTCGTTCCTGTAAAAGTGTCTTACAATGTTTGGAAGCCGTTTTAAATGGTTGCAATGGTTAGCCCACCTCCTGAAACCTATGCAAACTGATTTTGGTGTTGTTCTGACACTTCGTTAATTTATGGTAATTTTTTGTTTTTCCCCCTCATTGAACTCATTGGTTTTTTAAAGTGTTTTTGTCTTTTTTGTGGTTTTGTGGGATACACAACAGGACTGAATAAAAGACAGAATATGGAATGGATATGGGGAAATTCTGAATATTGAAAATAATCTTGAGCTTGCTTTCAGAAAACTCAACTAAGAGGAGTCCCCAGTCCACACCCTCACAGTACAAACTCTGATTCTACTGACAAAATTATCAAATAGATGGTCATGTATCCATTCTCAACATCATCCCCCAGAGAAAAAGGAACAATCCTAAGACAAGGGTAGGCGATACCTTGAGATAGATTTTGGTTCTGCACAACTGACTCTCTATCAGTTTGGGTATCACAGAGCTAGGGGTGATACAGAAAAAAGGGACAATACTTCGTTTTCCTATTCCAGCTTCCTGCTCAGTCAATCTACCTCTGTTCTCTATTGAGCTGCTGTACGGGCTAATCAGTTCAACTCCTATGCCATGACTATCCAGTCCAAAGCACGCAACATGCTTCAGACAGGAATCTGTAGGTACTTGAGCCAAGACCCACCTCCACAGAAAAGCCTTTAGACCTGCAATTTGCAAATGGAAAGGGGGGGTCTTCTCTTGAGCTTAGCTCCCCCAGTGCATCTACAAACTGACAACATGATAACTGTATAATGTGCACATCAGTGATGCTTGCAGATATCTAGTACTGTAACTGATTAAACCAATTGCAATCTGCTGTGAACACCACTAGAGATGGGAAGGCCTTGGGGGAAAACAGAAAATTAGGGGGAAAACAGTTTTCCCCCCATTTGTTTCCAAAGCCATTTTTTGCCTTTTTCTGGAATGCAGATTTTGTTCTTTTACAATGATAAATAATATGTCTGTGACATGGTATGTGAACTATGTAACATGAAGACCTTAATGAAGGACTTCCGAGACTTTACGTATTTAAGTTATGTATTTAACTTACACAACACAGATATTACAAGCAGATTACAGTGGGCCTTCGCACAACGGGTGCCTCACACAATGATAAATTCACACAACGATGGCTTTTCCGAAAAA